ACAGCGCGCCGACAGAAGCGTGATTTAAGTTAAGGTAAGGTTTAGGGTTAGGTTTAGGGTTAGGTTTAGGGTTAGGTTTAGGGTTAGGTTTAGGGGTTAGGTTTAGGGTTATGTTACAGCGCGCTTCTGTCGGCGCGCTTCTGTCGGCGCGCTTCAGCGCTCATTCATCTCCGCGGTTTTGACGGCGCGGTTTTGTCACCGCGCTTTAGTCACACACGCTTTTGTTGTACGCGCATTTGTGGTGGAACCGCACCCACAACTTCTGAAGGCAAGCCATTCCGCTGATGGATTGCTTTCACTGCTAGGAAGTTTCTCCATAATTTAGGTTGGTTCTCTCCTTAATGTTTCCATCCGTTACTTCTAATGTCCTGCCTTCAGGTGCTTTGGAAGATAGGCTGACCTCTCTCTTTTTTGTAACACTCCCTCAAGTATTGGAAGATTGCTATCAGTTTTAGTCCTTCTCTTAATTAGACTTAACATACCTAGTTCCCTCAATCGTTCATCATATTATCCTCCAGATTTGATCTTTGTTGCTATTCTCTGCACTCTTTCTATGGTCTCGTCACCATTTTTGTACTGTGGTGACCAGAATTGGACACAGTGTTCCAAATACGGTCTCATCAGAGCAGTGTAAAGTGGTACTAACACTTCACCTTAAACTGATTTATTGGTACCCATGCCTATGTGCTGGAATCTTCTCAACTAACCACTAGTACCTGCTAGGAGTTGGATAAGGGTCAACAGAATTTAAAGGAGATTGGACTTAGTTCACTTGTGATTACATAGAGATTCTAGGCTGATTACTCTTTTGACTCCGCCCCCCAGGTCCTGCCATTCCTCCTCCTACAAAGCCTTGTGTACTTACCAGTATCAGAGGTCAGCAAAGTAGGCGGTGGCCGTTGAACCAAAGTCCGCAACTGTCCCGCAGGAGGTGAAGCAGCTTTCCCAATACGCAACTCTATCTTTTTAGGACCCTGGTCCAAAATGTCAATCTCAACAGGAATACCCAAAGCGGCAAACATCTCCCGAAACCGGACCGCAGCTGTTTTGGCCTCTGAGTGAACTTCAAACTTGATGTAGATGTAGCGTTCGTCTTCCCGGTAGGTCTGACGATCCACTGCCTCAATCTCTCCCTCGTCCGCGCTGACAAACAATTCCTCGTCGACGTCGGAGATCTCGGTGGAGACTTTAGACTTGAACAACTTGTGGAGCCTCCGTCCGGCTTTACGGAAAGCATCGTCCAATTCACTGCCAGACGAGCTCTCTGATTCGCTGTCAGGAAGCTTCTTGGTGGGTTTCGATTTGCGAGAAGGTGCTTGAGGTTGGATGGTCACCTTGGCACTGTGGGTGACCTTGCCGAATTTATTGGAGGCTTCGCAGGCATACTTGCCCTTGTCGTTCATTTCCAGACCGGCGATAATTAAGGAACAGGTCCCATCATTGTAATTGTCTATGTGATAATGCCGCCCATCCTTAATTTCATTCCCGTCTTTCAGCCAACAGACTGTCATGTCTGTTTTGCTGTGGGCCGTGCACTCCAGATGGAGGGTGTCTCCTATCTTGCCGACAAAGTCCTTGAAGGTCTCAGCAAAGACCGGACGTTCTTGCTGTTTGATTTCCTTTCTCACTTTGTAACCTTTGAAGGCAGCTTGGATTTTGACGGCCGCTTGAGACATGGAAGGGTCCTCCAAGTCGCCTTCGGTGATCTCAAATTCAGTTGACTCTGCAGGAGGAGATGGTTCCTCACTGACCTTCTGCTGACCTTGAGCTACTTTCTCTACAACTTTGCGACTGACACTCACCGTAGTTGATCCAGCCTTCTTAAGGTAGGTGATTAAGGAAGGTGTCCCGGCTCTGGATTCATCATCTGAACTTGTGATGGAGAAATCTGCTTCTCCAGCTTTTGCAGATTCGTCGCAAGTAGAGTATTCCTCGGAGTAGTACTGGGTTATCTCCATTTCCTCCTTCTTCCTCTTCTGAAGCTTGTCGTCTTCTTCGGGCAGTTCACTGATTGAATCCAAGGTCGGCTCGCGACTCATCCTCCGCTTCTTGGCCAGAGCTTCCCATAGAAGATGGAGGTCCCCTTCCTGAGCGGCTTCAGGTGGCAAGCTGGGTTGAACCTCTTCATCCGTTACCTTCATTGACTCTTTAGAGATTTGTGCTTCCTCAACAATTTCTTTCAACATCGACACTGGAGAAACTAAGAAATGAAATGGTGAGATTATTATTAGGAAGTTAGGACATGGCAACTTCTAGACATAAAAGAAGAGGAAAATCTACAGGATAATTGAAATTTTGCAAATGCCCATTCAATAGCAGTAGACTTATATACCGCTTCATAGGGCTTTCAGCCCTCTCTAAGCGGTTTACAGAGAGTCAGCATATTGCCCCCAACAATCTGGGTCCTCANGGTAAGGTCGCATTTGCTTTAGCGATTCGGACGGCGCGGATTAGCACTCGCGCTTATGTCTTCCCGGATAAGGGCTTCGCGGTATTGTGGTGGAACCGTAGCCAGCGCCCGTGAAATACAAACAGCAAGAGAAAATGGCGGCTAAGCCTCCAAGCACGCCAAGCAGAGAAGTGGCAGTCGCAGGAAGTTGGCGAACCAAGCCTCCAAGCATAGCATGAGGGGCTCAAGAACAGTGCACTGAACTCACGGCCCTCAGATCCAGGCAATTAGCGGCCACGGGCTAGCCCAAGCAATCAGGCAAGAGCGCCCAACAATTTACACCCTCCCCATAAAGAGGGAATTCTCAGCAGCAGTTCTTGCCGGCAGACTGCGGAAACCAGCACTCCGTCCGACTCCGTAAACACGAAAACAATAATGATAAAATACAATGCACACAATACCTGTCAACTGCAAAGAAAATCCAAAGGGAAAAAACCTTAAAGGTACAGGAGGAACTGTGATTATGTCTCTGTAGGCAGACTGAATTGAAAAAACTGAGGCTACCAAGTGAAAGGGAGGCATGGCCAAGTTTCTTCAATTCAGTCTCTAGGCAAGCAGACTGAAATTAGCCCATTTCTTTGGATTCTCTAATCAGCGCACTGGAGAATTAAAAAAATATATTGCTCTTACCTGGACAGGTAACCTTTGGCACTGTAGTACGAGGAGGTCTCCGTTGCATCTCCAGCTGTATCATAGTCTGTGCTGGTTACTAATGAATGGTAAAAAGAGGATTTTAGGGGCAACATTTCCCAATTTCAGCCACTTTAAGGTCAGTGGACTTCAACTCTCAGAATTCTATGGTCAAGTTGAGAAACACAGAGCAACACTTCTCAAAAAGAGAAGGTGGACAATTGTGCAAGAATCAAGGAAGTTCTGATCAGTGATTTTTACGGAAAGGATGGAGGGAGGGAGGAAGGATTATGCTCACTTATGCTCAATTTTTGAACAACAAACAGTTTCCCACATCCCAGCTTTAAACTCACGTTCCACTCGTAGCTCAGCTTTTGTTGAAGACACCCCCATGCTGTTTTCAGCCACACAGCGGTAGACCCCCATGTCAAGAGGGACCACCGCAGTGATGATCAGCTGATGACATCCTTCCTGGTCCTCATTGATCATGTAGTGGTCATCCTCTTCAAGAACGCGGCCATCTTTAAACCACCGGACAGTTGGCATTGGCTTGCCAATCACCACACAATCGAAACTGACCGGGTAACCATCCTGCACCTCTTGATTTTGAAGCTCAGTGATGAAGATTGGAGCTAGAATGAATAAAGAACAATAAGAGCAAAACTATATGTCTGTCTCCTCCTTCTCTCCGCAAACCTCGCTCCCTTCTAGCACTAATGATGTTCTTTAGCTGGGTCAAGAAACGCCTACAAGAAAACAACCAAGCTCAGAGAGCACCAAGAACCCCACAGTTCCTTCTCCTCTTCCTCCTCCTCCTCACTTTCTTCCTTCTCCTTCTTGTCTATCTACTGCTCCTTCACCTTTTCCTTCTCCCTTAACTTTTGGTCCAGCCCTCAAGGAGTCCCTATACCACTTCTGACAAATGGCTATCCTGTCTCTTCTTGAAAACCTCCAGTGATGGCGCACCCACCGTGGCACGACATAACCGCGAACGTCAAAGCGCGCCGACAAAACCGCGGCGCTAAAACCGCGATGTCAAAAGCGCGCCGACAACAGCGCGCCGACAACAGCGCGCCGACAACAGCGCGCCGACAGAAGCGTGATTTAAGTTAAGGTAAGGTTTAGGGTTAGGTTTAGGGTTAGGTTTAGGGTTAGGTTTAGGGTTAGGTTTAGGGGTTAGGTTTAGGGTTATGTTACAGCGCGCTTCTGTCG